AAAAAAAAAAAAACAACTCTGGTGCAAATTTTTATAATCTAATAATTTTAACCATAATGTGAATCATCTAATTCCACAATGTATTTGAATATAATACATTTAAAAGTTAACAAGATAATCATGCATTCTATATTTTATCTGAATATTACACTTAGGGTTTAAATTACATAAATTCAAATACATTATGTTTGGAAAAATATGTAACCAGATACATGCATGCACTGCGTTTGTTATAAATTTGATCGAGACTTGAAAATAACAATAGTGCTAATGTGTTGGTTGATTACAATTCAACAATTAATTTTAATCGTCTGTTGACATTCAACGTTCAAACTTATTAAATGTTACATCATAAACGTGATTACCAAATACCAATACTAGATTGACATACCTATTACATATGTGTATATAACTGTACCTTAAGCTAATACAGCTTAAGCACTATTCTTTTCGATATTATATTTCGAAATTCTACCTACATGAACGATTTTTATATAAAAGTTGTCACTTGTCACATGTCGCAAGTACTAGTGACTTTGTGAACATAATATTTGGTATTAGTAAAGCATGTGTCGTCCTCGTCATTTATATTTTATATCACTTATTGAAGAGATATATGTGTTTTTTTCATTATATATTTGATCATATTTTAGCAATACCCACAATATAATACAATACTGATCTGGTTTATACTTGAAATAAATTGTTTTCTAATTTAATACTTAGTTATTGCGAGGAAACAGTGGAGTGTAAAACAAATTTTTAAAAAACTGCAGGTTTAAGCTAGAAATCTAGATTTTTTCCACTACCTAAAGTATTGAAAATTTAACATTCATACCTAATATCAAGACTATTTAACAATTAATTTTATATGAACATTTTTGGTTTTCTATATTAGTATAATTTATGTCTGTAAAAATTTGCGTTACCAAGTTCTGAAAATAAAATGCCAAGTTAACTAATTATACTTTTTTCATTGAATCCATATTAACCATATTTAAAAAAAAAAAAAACAAGAACTGAAAATAAAACATTTTTGGAAGTTATAATAGTTATATATTTCTGAATTGTATACTTATTAAAATAAAAAATAAAGAATAGAAACATGTTAATTCATAGGCGTGATGATTCTTACAACCAACACATTAAAATCAAATTTATAATTCCAAATCAGACAAGTTTATAAACCTAGTTTAAACACATATATTTATAAGTGGTAGTGCACTATAATTTCTTAATAATATGTTTTAATATAAAATTGTTTTGTGTTTAATCAATTTAAAACAATTATTTATAACAAATTTTATTGACACAAAACGGTTTAAAAGCATCACATATTATGAGCTTGATTACCTGCTATTTATAGTGAATAGAATCTTCTTAAAATTASATATTTCAAATTTCTAATATATAACACTMCACTATTTGATTGCTTTTGAACGAACGTAGTAAATTTGTTTGACGAGCCACATAATTCCCAAATATATATTTGCACTTAAAAAAATACTCACAATCAAGAATAGTCAATTTGTGTTTTTAAGATTTTGGCTTAAACTCCTAAACAGTGTCAAAATTGCACATTGATAGCAAACTGTACGATTTAAAAACTGGGAAATTGGATACATTTTCTCTTTGTAGAATAATAAATAATAATATACACGATTTTGAAAARTTTCTCGTACCTAAGAATAAAATGGTTTGAACTTAATCAAAGTGAGTAAAATAACATGAAGAAAATTARTATTATTATATTCGATATAAAATTTTATAATTTATGATGACTGTCATGATCGCGATTTTCATGAGACGAATATTGATTAAAAAATTATATCATCATCACACTGATGAACATAATAATGTTATTATAAATGAGTTTATAACATGTGATTTTGGAAAGCTAGAACCGATACCACAACAGTCTGATTTTTTTATAATAATTTAAATCGTGCATACGGCATACCTATACATATTTTTGCCATAACTCAAACAATATTAAATTAAATTAGTTTATAACATTCCATATTTACTGAAATTATCATTATATATTCTAAATTAAATTTTCAAAGCATTTAAAATATATTTTAGCTATTTATTTAACATTTTAAAACAGTTTGATAATACTGAAATTGAATAATAAATTATTTATTCAAACTTTCAAAGTGATGTAATAATTTTTTTGACAAAGCCAAAAAAAATTTGAAAATATAATGTATGAACTCACATACAATTTAAAAATATTTAAATTAATGAAAATAATTACAAAAAATTGTAAGTTATTTAGAAGTTAAAAATGTTTGATATTTTAATTTTAATATCTATGTTTGAAATGGTATAAAAGATTTCTTATCTATAGCTTTTACTAACCACGATTTTATTTTTTCCATAGACCTTTAAAATTAAAATTCTTATTAAATCGTGTATAAATATAATACGTAATAATATTAATATATTTTAATATTCTCATATATGGATAATATACTTCGTAATACAAGTTATTATCTGTCAGCCTATATTATTAAATTGTATTTAGTTTAATTTTATGGTATTGCGGCTATTTATAGTTGATAACTTATTACCTAATAATAAGTAATGGTAAATATAATTAATGACCATATATTTATAAGACATTACACTGAATTCGGACAGATTTCATACGAAATCGTTATTCGTGTACAGTTATTTACTATCGAATTCTGCAAATATGTTAACGCATCCATCACAGTGACCTACTGAATGATTAAGTACAGTATATAGAGATAGACACCTAGTACACAATATATATCGAACTCCTTCTTTTCCACTTTCTATCATTAACACCATACGATTAAATGAAGGTATTCTGTCATAGCATAATGATATAACATGTATCAAACCAATATTTATTTTTATTTTTTTAGTTATGATAATTTYTGCTTCTAAAAGCTACTAATGTTGTTAGCATTAGATTTCCAATAGTTGTATACATGGTTAAACTTGCATTATCACATTAGTAWTGCTTGAATTTTTTAAGGCATAATCTTATATATTATTGTAAGTACGTATAATGATGTCTTAGGGCTCCAAACTTTAAACGCCGCTGCACTGGTCGCTGCATTCTTATCGTCACATTTAATAGAATGTCMAAAATCCAACAGTGAATTATACTGCTATACTTTACCACATAACTTATACCCAACCCTTACTTGCTATAGATGGTATACTGCACGTTGCCGATGTCGTATATTGCTCAGTGTAGCGTCAAAGCAACCATTAAAGGTAATCGCAACATCAATTGTTCAATCAGTTTTAGTCCCCCCCCCCAACCACAACGGCCTATCAAACAGTCTAATAGATGTGGGCTGGGGGTAGGATGCATGCTCGTCAGCGCAACCGTGGCCTCGACCTTATCTTATAGTTGAGAAGGAAAAACTCCGTACGAATAATCCACGGCGGCCACTAGTGAGTCAGTGAGTGCCCTCCTGGCAGTTTCACCACAGTTCGWCCACATACAACTTCGTGCCCATATAAAATTAGTGAAACGAATGCGGAACGGTTGCTGCGGGACAGCGTTGTCGGCGGTGGTCGACGATTCACGGCGGCGATGGACGAGAGGCGTCCAGCGTACGCTGCGCTGCTGTTGCTGGCGCGCAGCTATCGTGCGCCTCGTGCGCCGGCCCGCTGATCAATATAACGTGGAGGAGGGAGAGGGCGGTGATATTTCGCRTCATTAAACTAAGCGCCAGAGCGCCCCGGCGGACTCGCGCGATTTTCGTCGGGCTGGCGGAGTGTACGGTGTTATCGCTGTTGGTGAGGAGGGGTCGTGGTCGGTCGAGGCGACGGCGTGGCGAAGGGAGGCGGCGAGAGTTTTTTCGGCCGCCGCCGCCACCGCCTCGGAAGCGCCGCGCGGCGACGTGCGCACGCTATACGGCCAGACCGCGACACCGGCGCGCTCACTGCCGCCGCCGCCATCACCTTTACACGCCGCCGCCGCCTCCGCCGTGAACCGACAGTCGACTTGGGCGCATCACGTCGTCATCGTCATCACCGTTCCGCCACACACGTCGCCGACCGGTGGCAGTGGTCGGACGTGACGGTTTTTGACACGCGCTCGTCCCGGCATCACGGAGCCGTAGTGGACGAACGCCCGGCCATGCGGCCACCACCGGACCGGGGACCCGGTCGTCCTCCACCCGGTGCAACGACGCTATCCACAATCGTGGCCGTCTTCCTAACGGTCGCACTTCTGATGGACGGCGCGCTCGCCGAGAAGAACAAATTTTGTGAGTACTCGCCTTCGAMAACCTCTGAATTCCCAATCCATATACGTACCCATTATAATATTGTTTCGTTTGACATAAACAAAATGTTTAATAGATGTGCATACTTTCGTTAGTGTTTTTCCTCGACCGATATCCGTTGAGTACATCTCATTTTATTCGATTTAACCTTACCCAACCTAATGGTCGGTCAGGATCATCGGGAAAACTATATCGAGTCCGAGTCTAGCTCGAGTGTCCCTTTCCAATATCCTCGTCCACGCTGCTATTTGACCCACTATCTGGACGCGATAAGATTAGTAGGCGCTTAACGGTGATAACGGCTCGGGGCGAGTATGAATATGTAATTTCGTACACACGCGTAACGCGTTGTCTGTGCACGTAGTGTGTTGTGTGTACGATGGGAACTCGCTTCAGTCATGTTAGCAAAAAACAATTAATTTCCATGTTTTTAAATACCCCGTACCGACGATAACGCCATAACTAAACTTTTTCTCGGATGTTTTCACTCCAAGCGTGATAACAACAATATTATCACTGTGTAACAACACGCGAATATTATTGTCGACTGACGTACTGATGTAGGTAAACAATATATTATTATTTCGAATTTTAAACGACCGTTTGATGCGACGTCGACGGTTCTCCCCACCACGACCAGCGCCACGTGCCACAAAGGTGTGCTTTCGCATTTGCCGCCGCCGCCGCCGCCGTCGTCGTCGTAATACTATAATAATATTATAGTGCCTAGTAAAAGCAGTAGTACACATCATTTTTACTCTGAAATTAATAATTAAGTTGTTCTTTGGTGTAGTAGCATCCAGTAGTTGTGTATGGTATGGTCGTAGAATAGTTTTAGTTGTAGTTGTAGTACAGTGATAAACATCACATAGGTACCTATATACCATAAAGTGGTTAAATATCTACTCGTAGGTAATTTACGAGTAGTGCATACGCACTTTTCAGCCGTTTGGCGCCACACGTCACACACACGCACATTAAGTTTCGATTTTTTTCCCCTTTCATAATTTCGCACGTTATTCAAAGTCGTGCGCGCTTTTTCTGTGGCGGGGATTATAATATATTATTATATATTATGATATTATAATCATAATACGCCCAAACCGTAATGAGTTTCATTTTTTTTATTTATTTTTTTTTTTATATGACTTCAAAATATCGCTTATGAGTGGATATAACAATAGCGTTATAAATTATATTTTCGGTCTTAAATTCTAAAATCATATTACATATTTTGATTTTTCTCTCGTATTTTTAAAAATTAATATATTGCCTTCCTTAAATGGACGTGAAAAAAATAAAATCGTTGTTAGAACGGGTTACTCTATTTTTCACTTTTGTTATTATTATAGGTACCTATGCATATGTTTTGTTATCATAATGTAACTAAATTATTCTTTTGGTATACCTACATATTTTTTTTTACTTCTCAATCTAACATTGTTCATTATCGTATTTATCGTATATCATATATTTAT